TTTATACTTTTATTTATTAGAAAAAAGCATTATCTTTAAAAAGTTAAAATAACCCTGTTTCTAATAAATATTATTTTAATAAAATAATCCTTTCTGAAATATTTCAAACCGATTAATATATTTACGTAACACGGACGTAATAACATGATGTGATCGTAATACGTCACGCGTTTTAAAAATATATTCTAACAATACCTAACAAATTGTTGCAATGTATTGTTCGTTTTTTCTATTGTAGGTGACCATTGTAAGGACAGAAGACGCCGACGAAAGGCGGAGAAATCCCGTTCGGCTGAAAACAGGAGTATCGGACGGGGCGAAGAGGGGTCTCTGTGTCACGTTTCTTTAAGGCCCGTTCGAGTAAAGAGGCCGACGGGAGATGGAGAGCCCTCCGAGTGTCCCGCATGTTTAAGACCCGCTCGGGTGAAAACAGAAGACACTGAGGAAAGGCGGAAAAGGCTTTCTGTGTCACGTTTTATTAAATTTCGCGCTGAATGTTTTGTTTTTGTTTATTGATGTTCGGTATGAGTTTGAAGTAAATTTTGTGGCCCTAACATGCTTTTTATTATGATCTGGAATCGTAGTGGCTTTTTTTCTTTCATTGTTACTAGTTGTTTTAAAATCGTATCTATTAGTTTAGATTAGTGTTTTTCAACGGAGGCGATATCCCCCATGTGGACGTTTTTCCATGTTGAGGGGGCGATTAGTAACAATTTATATTTTGGGTGGCAAAAAGAATTTTCTGGGCGATATAGTAAAACATTATATTAATATTAAGAATAATCAGATATTTTATTCGTTATATCTTACAATAATTAAACAAATAACATTATAATAGTCACTAGTCTATTCAATGCCGTACGAATTTGTCGTTTGCCTTGGCCCTCGGCATCGAAATTTTGATGTGAAGGGGTGATACTACGTAACGGTTTTATTGAAGGGGGCTATACCACGTTGAAAGAGGGCGATGATTCGTTAGGCGTTGAGAAAAACTGGTTTAGATAGTAACAATACGGTGAATTTCGAATAGTTGAATTTGATGTATTCAGAGGAAATTATAAATATTTTCATTGTGTGAGTTAGGACGAATGAAACTCGACAAGTGATGTCAGTCGCTTATANCTTGGCCCTCGGCATCGAAATTTTGATGTGAAGGGGTGATACTACGTAACGGTTTTATTGAAGGGGGCTATACCACGTTGAAAGAGGGCGATGATTCGTTAGGCGTTGAGAAAAACTGGTTTAGATAGTAACAATACGGTGAATTTCGAATAGTTGAATTTGATGTATTCAGAGGAAATTATAAATATTTTCATTGTGTGAGTTAGGACGAATGAAACTCGACAAGTGATGTCAGTCGCTTATGAAGTTGCATTCTTTTCAACTCTTGGTGGAATTCTGAAGCAGCCACCTCCACGTGGTGAGTTCTGTGTTGTCGTTCGTCTGCAAATGACGAATGGCAAGCGAAGAGCTGCTTGTTTCTTTCAATTGATAATAAGAAATGAAAACATGGCAATAAAAACAGAAATTACAAAAGTAATTAAAGTTAGGAGAATTAAGTATCTAACTTTGGTATAAATCGCTTTTAATTTTATCTATGTAGTGTTAATTCCTTTGGCTTAATCGTAATTGTGAACAGGGCAGTGCCGTGCTATGATGCAGAGATGCGGCCGCATCAGGCGGCACCGTAATGGGGCGTGATAAGCATCATTTAAGGTGTTTCATAAGCGGCATTTAAGAGGCGGCATTTCGAAGACTTGCATCATACTGAGAAAATCTACCGTACGGCCCAGACTTCTCTCGACAAATGTATATGGTAGTCCTATCGTCCGATCGCACGGTAGGAAACACCACGCTAATTAATTAAAAATAATTATTTAGTGTTATTAAACATTCTATAAGTACTTTAAAATAATTTAATTTGTTTATTTACCTTCGCTGGTAGCCTTCGATGTTAAATGTATCTGCCATTTTCTCGACGAATTTTCCGTGAGTCAATGCGTGACGTTCACTGAGTCACGTGATGATGGAACGTGCGCCGCAACGATTTTCTCTTGGAGTTAAAACGTAAATCGTGTACTTGTGTTCGCCGTATAGAAGTAACGTTTGAACTTGGGCCGCAACTTCTATTAAGAAGTTGCGGCCGAAGTTTTCGACGCGAAAACGTGAACGTCGGACGTTCTGCGCCGCCTTCCTGTAATCCTAGAAGTTTGACAATGGCGTTTGGAACGTCGAGCATGATTCCACTGACGTTCCAAATGTAATTGTCAAACTTTTAGGCTTACAGGAAAGCGACGCTGAACGTCCTACGTTTATGTTTTTGCGATAAAAACGTCGGCCTCAACCTATTAAATGGAGAGATTGCGGCGCAAGTACAAACGTTACTTATACACGGCAAACAGACGTATAGGTTTTAAGTCCAAGAAAAATTCATTGAGGCGCTCACAACATCACATGACTCAGTGAAGTCGCGCATTGACTCAAGGAAAATTTGTTGAAAAAATGGCAAATACATTTAACATGGAAAATTACTAGCAAAGGTAAATAACAAATTAAACTGTTTAAAAGTATTTATAGGANAAAATATCTAGAATAAAATAAAATTAATTAATAGATTTAAAATTAGGAAATATAAAATAGTTTCATTACGTAGGTTAGGAATAAAAGTATGATGCAATGACGAAAAACTTTTCGTCAGGAAGAACTCGAAAACATCTGGCAACTTGTTCGTACGAAAGATGGCTCCTGTTTAGTTTATTATTACACAAGGAGAATCGATTTGTTAAGTTTTTATTAATTAGAAGAAAAGATTAAAGATGAAAGGCAGAAAAGTAGAAGTATCCATCGAAATTAAACGTGACATAGAAGTTTTTATAGAAGAATTAAGATTTAGGTAACTATATGCTTAAACAGCTGTGTCAAATACCACCTTCTTTATTATTCGTATTCATCTGGGTACAATTAAACTTCTGACTGAGACGGTTGGGCCCTTATCAGAGCTGTAGATTATTGTTTGTTCGTACAGGGGGGGTCTATAACTTGGGGTGGAAAATCCTGTATTCAGAGTTATTTAATTACATATTCAGAGTATAGTTTTAAGGAGGAAACTTTTTCCTCTCCACCCAGCGGTCCAATGCCGTTAAGTGCACCATGGTCATCAAGGATCCAGCTAAGCCCCAATGCAGAGAGTAGGATGGTGAGGGACTAACCTAGACATGGCCAACATATGGCCCGTCTAATGAAGTTATGTGACCCGCCATCAATCTTTCAATATTGGCTACTCAAGTCCGAATATCTTTGTGAAAAATTCTCTGAGACCTAAAGAAAAAAAAAAAAAAAGGTCAACAACTCACTGTGCTTCACTCACTAGTCTTTTAAAACATCAAACTTGACAATGCTGACATTGATTTATAAGCAGCATAAAGAATGCTATAAGCCTGTTTTTGAACTATAAAAACACTTTATCTTGATAGTTCTTTACAGTATTAAATGGTACAAGCATTTTTGAAAAGTAGGAATGACATGATCCATATATTAATTATTCTTATTTGCTTTTGTACAGATTAAGTGATTTATCCTTAAAATTACAGTGTACTTTCACATCAATGTTTGTTACAATTTACTTACATTTATAATTTTTTAATTTAAGTTTTGCCCAAAATGATTTTTAAAAGCTTTATAATTATTTACAATTGTATATTGAAAATGTAAATTATTNTTTATGATTTCTCAAAATTCACATTTTTTATTAGAAAACAGTTTTATACGTTTTAAGACAATTATAAAGATATCATTTTCAAGCTTTTTATCTTATAATAATAATATTATAAAAGTTATCTCTTTTTACTTGTTACCAAAGTATAGGTACACATTCTAAACTTAAATAAAAATAAATTTTAAATACTTTTAATATTTGGTTTCACCCCCTTTGGCTACAACTGCTTGAAATTTTTCGACCTGTCTAAATTTCATCCCAGGTTCCCCAGAGCAATAGGCTGCCATCTTGACCACTCAGCCATCTGGCACGAGCCCAAACCGTTAGGAGTTGAAACTTGAAATTTGGTACACAGTTACGGTACGTCAGAAGAATGTATACTAAGAAAGGATTTTTCGAAATTTCCCTCCCCCCTCCGTACGTGAGAGGGAGAGATATGAGGATTACGCTGAAAAACTCTGCTTCTACTGTACTACAGTATTTTAGATGCAGTTTTTTGCGAAAAATCGAAAATATTTTTAGACTTATCTAAGAATTTTTTAACTAGACTCGGAAAAAAAGACTTAATTTTTGCACCTCGATGAAAACGAATAAGATCAGCTATATAACTATTAACTATAAAGGTTATCTCACGTAAGAGTTTATCACACTGAATGACCAATCTAACACGTTTTAAAATTCTTTATTCCTCTACTGTACACAATTTAAAAAAATTTTTAAATGTGTCCGTTAATGCCTATAAGCGTGCACGAGTATAGTCATATATATATGACTATTCACTCATACATATATATGCGTGTGTGTGTGTGTTAATTAAGCCGTAAACCATAACCTAGTCTACAGTCGACCCCCCTATAACATTGTTGATTATTCCGTTTTATATGAATACCACATTGTACGAGTAACTTAAATTTTACAAATACGTGAGCCGTTCACTGCCCGGCACACGTATTTGTAAAATCTAAGTGACTCGTACAACATGGAATTCATATAAAACGGAATAATCAACAGTGTTATAGGGTGTCGACTGTAGTATTTTTAATATACAATAAACAACAAAGTAATAATTATTACTACATCAGAACGAGTTAATAAAAAATAATAATAACTTAAAATATGAAAATAAACTTAAATATATTTTATAAATTTACTGACGAATAAATTTATTGTGGAACGGATGTCGTCACTTTCTACGAAAGAGTCGACAGTCAAATCTTGAATCTTCGTAAGGACTATTTTCTTTGACTTTTTTGAGATTTCAATTTTTCTCTTAAGTTTACAACCGACTTCCTTTTTCCAACACAAAAATACCTCATTTCCTTGTAATAAGTCTGCGCTGTTATTCAAAGTCAGCCTGTCAGGCATGTTGATTAAGTGGCTTTATTGAATCAAATCTCTAATCTCAACTTTACATGTAGATGGTTTCTTTGCAATTAAAAGTTCCGTCAACACAGACAGCGATGAATATATGGCACTCAGAAACTAAAACAATATTTAAAAAATTAACAAACAGTATATAAACATAAATAACAACACGGTTTCGACAACAACAACAAAAAATTATTATATAGGCTACGAATTAAGTTATTAATACGGGTATTATGAATAATGTCTAGTCATTATGAATAATGACAAGCAAAAAAGGGGGATTGTAATAAATTTCAGGTGTTAAAACATAATTTATCAGATTGACCGGTCATTATGAATACGTTGAGAAGTGATCATCCTACATCGCTACCCAATCACCACTCGCATCTGAGTTGCAGTTTAGTATCGAATTTTAAATATATGCGAGTAGTAGTTAATCTTGTACAAGATTTTAATTTCACTGTTAAAATGGTGTTTTCTTTTTTGAATGAGGTAACGATTAGGCCTATGATAAGAACAATCGCTTCAACAACCGATTACACAAGTTAATCGCAGTAAAAAGCCAGAACAGTTGAATTTTAAAAAATTCAGTGTATTTGTCAATGATACAAAAAGTGAAAGAGTCAAAAATAAAACTGACATCAATGTTACCAGTAAAATATTAGTGTTTACGAATATATGACGTTGTAACTAGCGGAAAAATAAAAAAATTAATTGTGCCTATAAAAGAAGGTAATTTGATTAAATATCACGTTTACACTGAAGAAATATTTCAGATATTTCACGATGTCCATATTTCTATTGGCCATAGTGACAGAAATAGTACGAAAAAAATTAATGTACGAAATATAAAAATATTACAAAGGAAATTATCATAATTTATTTTAACTCGTATGAAATCTGTCAGAAAAAACAGAATGATCCTAAGAAAGGCTTGGTAGCTAAACCAATTTTAAGTAATGAAATGAACTCGAGATGTGAGGTCGACCTCGTAGGTATGCATTTCTAAGCCAATGAGCAATATAAATTTACACTCGCATCTGACTAAATCCGCTCAACTACGACCGTTAAATACCAAAAGGGCTGAAGATGTGGCTTATGTTCTTTTAGACATTTTTACAATTTTTGGTGCACCGAGTATTCTACAAAGCGATAAAGGCAGAGAATTCGCCAACAATGTCATCAAAATATGGTCCGTGTTGACTATTGTGCATGGAAAACTCAGACACTCACAAAGTCAGGGTTTAATAGAAAGATGTAATCGAGACGTATAAAATATGTTTAGTTCTTGGTTGGAGACTAACAACACTAACAAATGGTCGAAAAAGTCAGGTTACATTATGTATAACTGATGAAAAATCCAGAGCATCATGCTGGTGTGAACTTCAATCCCTATAAGGCCATGTTTGAAATAAAGTGAAAAATTGGACAATAGATTTTATACCCAACGAAACGAGCGGAACAATAATAAGAAGGAAGATCTAGTGATTCTTTTATCTAACATCTATGACAAAGCAAATCAAAGTTGCTTACTTGGAATGATCAGGTACTGTCTAAGGCAGTGGTTCTCAACCGGGGGTACATGTACCCTAGGGGTACGAGCGTAAATCGAAGAGGTACATCTAACTTTCATTATAAAATGACATATGTTAATCAATTTGCTGTAAATTATTAACACAAGAAACAAGAAACGACAAAAACTTGCTTTAAAATATACCAGTATGAACACTGATTTCCCTTTTAACAGTCTAAACAATTTGTTTATCCACTTGATTTACCCGTCTATTTGTGCCGTTAGTGCCGAATGAACTTGTAGTATAGTAAAATTACGGTTTAACTAAGCATTAATTTTAGAATAGAAAAAAATTTTTTTATTTTATTCTATAATTATTGCTCAATGAGATTGGGACTTTTTGTATTTTTACTGGAGTACTGGTATTAGGAATAACGAAGCCTGGATTGTATCCATACCATGCAATGCATGTTACTGCATGCACGCATTACTTGATATTTAGCAAATTTAGACATTACGTTTGTTACAAAAATTGAAAGATTTATTTATTGTTCTGCACGATATAAATTCACAGCCATTACATTGTAAGTACACAATTATAATCTCTATTTAACAACATATAAACCAAATTTTGAAAAAAATTGCTAAAAATTTATTGCAGCAAATATCCCATTAATTTTTGTTAAAAATTATTGTAGAATAATTTAAATTTTCTTTATCGTTAATTATAATAATTTATTTTTAGGAAATGTAATTTATGCATGTATGCATGTATTCTGTGATTTTATATAATATACTTATCAAATAATAAATAAATGTATGTACCTGATTAAATTTATTATTATTTACGTAAAATAAGTAATTCACTTTTAGTTATAATTAATTAGAATTTTTCAATGGCACTCAGTTATAAGGGTAATAAGGGCTGTATACATTTAACGCAGTAATTATAAAATTTACATACAAAAATATAACAGGTACTTGAGAAACAACTAATGGGCTAATGGGGTACATCAACAAAAATAGTTGAGAACCACTGGTCTAAGGTAACATTATAAAAGATTATTTTATAATGTCACCCTCACATAGCAATATAACTGATCAAGTATAAAGATCTACATCGTCTTCTTCTGAAAAAGATCTAATCGTACTGGTTTTCAGAAACTTTGGTTATTATTAGTATTACAGAATCGGTAAATGACAAAAAAAAATCTCCAAACAGTTGATACAAAAATAGAAGTAAAAATAATAATTGTGTTAAAACAAGAGATTTGTCTAATCTTAAAAAGCAACCAGAAAAATGATTAATACATCGAATTCCAAACACTCAGCAGCTACTGTTGATGATACAGTAAGGATTCGTGTAGATCAGGGCTTCTTAAACTATGGGTCGCGACCCCATTTGAGATCGCTTAGCGAAATCTTGGGGTCGCGAGATTTTAATGCAAAATATTGAAAATAATTTCAGAGTTTTAAAATGGCACGCTTTGTGTCACTTCTGGTGCAGCGAGACAACGATTCAGCAACACTGATTGTAGTGTGAAATAGTGTAGTGTTGTCGCTTTTCAGTGTATTCAGTTGTCTCTGTTCCATTGTAACATAAAAGTGAACTATGGTAGTACACCATACTTGTTTATGCAAATTTGTATATCTTTATTTTATATTTTTTTTTTGGGTCGTGAAAAAAATCACAATCATAAATGGGGTCGTGAAAAAAAAAAGTTTAAGAAGCCCTGGTGTAGATGATATAGATCTGGCCCGCAATGATGGAAAAATAATTTAGGTGTCGTTCTTCCGGTTGAAGATAAAAATCTTTCCACACTGGTATCAAACATGGAATATTAAATCTACCATATACCAGAAAACAATCTACTGTTTGTAAACAAAAGTTTATTTCTGTTGCAGATGTACTAGGAGCAAACATTTCGCTTAGAAAATATCCATGAATGTCATCAATTTCTGGAGGCCAAGAATATAGTCGATGCTGCTGCAAGATTAGATGCAAATCTAATAAATGCAATTGCTATAAAGAAATTTAATTCACAATGACATCAAAATCTTACTTACTCGAATAAATAAACTAAAACATTTATTTTTTTATATAATTTATACGAAAAATAAAATTTCAAAAGTTTCCTATAAAGTTCATATTTTCATGAACTAAAAATTTGTTAATAATACTTTTCGTTAACACGAGTTTAATTAATACAGTTAATAATACAGTACAGCGTCGTTTATCCGAAAGCTGGTTATCCGAAACGTCCGTTATCCGAAAGCATTCCAGTCGGAAAATTTAAATTTTCGCTAGTGCTGTGGCGCTGCAATCTTCAGCTACCCAAATATTTTACGTTTTTGATACTAAATTAACATCTGAAGTATAATTTTTTATTGTTTTTATATTTTTCAATAAATTTATTTTGTTTGTACAAAATAAAAAAATAATTTTTAACGATACAATAGTCTTCGTTAGGCTTAACATCGACGAAAATTCAACGCGAAGCGACACGCAACGGAGAGAAATTTCAACATGGGATAAATTAATATATTTTTTCGTACATGATTCGTTATCCGAAAAATAAGTTATCCGAACCACCCCAGTCCCCAATTGATTCGGATAAACNTTAAAACATAATTTATCAGATTGACCGGTCATTATGAATACTACTATTACCTAATCGGGAAAAGAGTTATAATACGTCGGAAAGTGAGCATCCCACATCGCTACCCAATCACCACTCGCATCTGTGTTGCAGTTTGCTATTGAATTTTAAATTCATGCGACGAATAATTGATCTTGAACGAGATTTTAATTTCACTCTTAAAATAGTTTCTTTTTCGAATGAGGTAACGATTAGATCTATGATATGAACAATCGCTTGAACAACCGATTAAACAAGTTAATAGCAGTAAAATGCCGGAACAGTTGAATTTTAAAAAATTCAGTGTATTTCTCAAAGATACAAAACGTAAAAGAGTCAAAAATAAAACTGATTTGTATGTTATCAGTGGAATATTAGTGTTTACGTATATATGACGTTGTATCCAGCGGAAAAATAAAAAAATAATTATTATGCCTATAAAAAAAGACAATGTGATTAAATACCACATTTACACTGAATGAAATATTTCAGATATTTCATGATGTCCATATTTCTATTGGCCACAGTGACAGAAACAGTACGAAAAAAAATTAAGGTACGAAATATAAAAATATAACAAAGGAAATGATCATAATTTATTTTAACTTCTATGAAATCTGTCAGAAAAAAACAGAATGATTCTAAGAAAGGCTTCGTAGTTAAACCAATTTTAAGTAATAAAATGAACTCGAGATGTGAGCTCGACACAGACAGCGATGATATCGTAGCGATGACTCGTAGATATGCATTCCTAAGCCGATGAGCAGTATAAATTTACACTCGCATCTGACTAAATTCGCTCAACTACAACTTTTAAATACTAAACGGGCTGAAGAGGTAGCATATGTTCTTTTAAACATTTAAACAATTTTTTGTGCACCGAGTATTCTACAAAGCGGTAACGGCAGAGAATTCGCCAATAATGTCATCAAAATATTGTGCATGGAAAACCCAGACACTCACAAAGTCAAGGTTAATTAGTAAGATATAATCGAAACGTAAAATTTATGCTTAGTTCTTGGTTGAAGACTAACAAACAGTCTAAAAGTTTGGCTTCGTTTTGCACAACTAATGAAAAATCCAGCACTAATACTGGTAAAAACTTCAGTTACTATAAGGCCTTGTTTGAAACAAAGTTAAAATTTGAGGTAAAAAATTTTACACCCAACGATAATAAGAAAAAACATTTAGAGACTCTTTTATCTAAAATATAACGACTAAGCAAGTCAAAGTTGCGTAATTTGAAGGATCAGGTACCATTTAACGTAACATTATAAAAGGTTATTTTATAATATCTCCCTCATACAGCAATATAACTTATCAAGTTCAAAGATCTACATCGTCTTCTTCTGAGAAACATCGAATCATACTGGTTTTCAGAAACCTTGGTTATTATTAGTATTACAAAATCGGTAAATGACGTAGAAAAACTCCAAACAGTTGATACAGAAATAGAAGTGTGTTAAAACAAGAGCTTTGTCTAATCTTAAAAAGCAACAAGAAAAATGATTAATACATCGAAATCCAAATACTCAGCAGCTACAGTTGATGATCCAGTAAGTATTCGTGTACCAGATGTAGATCAAGCCTACAGTGATAGAAAAAATAATTTAGGTGTCGTTGTTCCGGTTGAACATAAAAACCTTTACACACTAGTATCAAACATGGCATATTAAATCTATCATATACCAGAAAACAATCTACTGTTTGTAAAGAAAAGTTTATTTCTGTTGCAGATGTACTAGGAGCAAACATTTCTCTTAGAGAATGTGTAAGAATGTCATCAATTTTTGGAGGCCAAGAATATAGTCGATGCTTCTGCAAGATTAGATGCAAATCTAATAAATGCAATTACTATAAAGAAATTATTTAATTCACAATGACATCAAAATCTTAATTTCCCGAATAAATAAACTAAAAACATTTAATTTTTCATGTAATCTATACGAAAAATAAGATTTCAAAAGTTACCTTTAAAGTTCATATTTTCATGAAGTAAAAATGTGTTAATAATACTTTTCGTTAACACGAGTTTAATTAATACAGTTAATAATACTTAATTTTAATAAAATTACGAGCTGTTTTTAGAATACTTTCAAATAATTCACAAAATTAAATAATTTGTAATGAAAAAAAGTGGAGATTTTTAATCAAATTGTCCAAACAAAATGTAGCTGTATTCATAATGTCTGGTCAATTTAATAAATTAATCAATATTTATCAGACTGTGCGCCCATTTTAGTCATTATTCGTAATGGCTGGGCATTATAAATAATGCCCTATTAATCACTTGGCCCATACTATATACACCTAATAAGAGTTACATGTTTAATATGATTCTTCGAATAAAATATATTTGTAAACTATACACGCAGTTATAATAGATGTTTTTACAAGTTTAATGTAGTCAAACAGAATATATTGAACGAACTTACTCGAATGAAGAAGTTTTTCTTAACATAAAAGAATCCGCCGATGCTTATTCCAAATGGAGTTTTACCATATCTTTTCATAAAGTTCAGCATCTTTAAAATAATTTTTTGAATTATATTAAATTTATAGACCGATAGAAAAGATTTGAATGCATTTGTATTACCTTCATTTTGGTTTCTAATGGTAAATCAGCAGAACACAATTTGTCGATTTCGATGAATTTCCCATAAAGCTGAAAAATTTTAAATTAATATCATTAACAAAAATTGTAAAATTGGTATATAAACTCTTATAAAATACATTGTAAGTGATCAATCAGTTTCAATATTATTTTATACTAGCAGATACGCCCGGCATTGCTCGGACAGAAAGTAACGATAGCGAAGATTAAGATTATTACATTATAGCCAATCTTACCCGTTTTCATAAAATGCATGAATTAGGTCCCCTGTTTCCAGAGTAATTAAAGAATTTTTACATGGGTCTAAAAATATGTTCGATTTCTCACAAAAACGCATAAAACCGCATCTGTGACTGTAAATCTTGCACGTTGCTTTCTCTTAACACTTCTATTCTTAACACTTCCATTGTTAAGGAATGCACCTCTTTCATCCCCACGTGTTACCCTACTAAAACGCAGTTAAAAATTGCACCTACAGCTGAAGAGTTAACACCTACCGCTGAAGATAATTGCCGAGAATCAAACGAACCATTTTCAATTTGATCAATTTTCTGGAGCATTTACAATCGTTCTATAATCGAACCAATATGCAATAACAAATTCGAATTTAAAACGGTTCGAACATTTTTAAAATTGAAATAGATAAAAATATTTATAACAATGTCTGAAATGTTATCAATTAACATTTTAGACATTTGTTATCAACACCTAAGTACTCAATGAAGACTAAATGTAGTTGAAAACAAAAAATCACATCTAAAATAGTAGAGTAGAAGCCGTTTTTCCGGTTAAGCCTTAATGCTCTCCCTCACCCTCCGCGGGAGAATTTCTAAAAATCCCTTCTTAGTGTGCATTGCCATGACTTACCCTACTAAAATGCACATAAAAACAAAAAANCCCGATAAAAACTTAATGCTCTCCCTCACCCTCCGCGGGAGAATTTCTAAAAATCCCTTCTTAGTGTGCATTGCCATGACTTACCCTACTAAAATGCACATAAAAACAAAAAATCGCATCTAAAATAGTACAGTAGAAACCGTTCTTCCGGTTTAGCCTTAATGCTCTACCTCACCCCCCGCGGAAGAATTTCTAAAAATTCCTTCTTAGTGTACATTGCCATGGCGTATCCCACTAAAATGCAGATAAAAACAAAAAATCGCATCTAAAATAGTACAGTAGAAACCGTTCTTCCGGTTAAGCCTTAATGCTCTCCCTCACCCTCCGCGGGGAAATTTCAAAAAATCCCTTCTTAGTATGCATTCTCATGGCATACCCTACTACAACACAGATAAAAACAAAAAAATCGCATCTAAAATAGTACAGTGGAAGCCGTT